AAATTAAAATAATTCAACCTTGAACTGGAATGGTACGCCTGCAACAACTGAACTGTTGTCACAAAATTGTTCTCAATCGTACTTCAAACTTGCCACATGGATTAATCGGCAGTTAGAAGCAGCTGCAACACCATGTTCTGTGCACTTCTGTTGCCATTTTAATTTTTAAAAAGCAAATGGAGAGGCTCTCCACAAAATTCAATGCCGCAATAGCAATGACTGAACCAGAATCACAAAATTATGAACAGTTCACTAAATTGTCTATTAGGAGCACATATCAAGAGGCTGCAGAACAAATTGTGTGCCTGAAATAACAGATCAATGAATGAAGAATAAAGAGATGTAAGAAGTGGAGACGTTGACGAACCATTGTAATTTGTGAAGAATCAATTTCCATACAGCCAGAGTAATGGCAGAACATCACAGATAGTGTATTCATTACTTTTAACAGCAAAAAATCATGGATTACCAAATGGAAATTTATTAATGCTCCAAGAAAGAGAGAATGATGCTGTAACACAGGGCCAGAAAGTACACCCACTTCTTAAAATTAGTAAAAAGCAATAAAAGCAGCCCACAATATATACGTACAGTAAAAAAAAGTTGCCTTGGGCAGGATGGGCATATCCTTTAAAAATTACAAAACCAGCATACAATGACTGAGCTGACAATGGAAACACTGAATACATAAAACACTTTTGTCCGATGATACAAGTGTAGCTACTTTATCATCTCACTGTATGTCCAGCTACATAAATGTTCAGCCACAAATACATATTACAGAACTCCTAAAGCCAAAGGATGATGTTTCAATGCAAAGGCCTAAAGCCAGATTTTACTACATCACCTTATAAATTATATGAGCTGCTGCTTCTTAAGCTATCACAGATTACTAAATACATCTTAGCCCAGACTACAAAATGACTAATCAGAGGGTAATATACAGCTTCTGTACTCTTCAACATCTACATCAGTGACCCACGATTCTATGGCACAAAAGCAGGTTTTATCTACGTGAACAAATGCCAAGGGTCTTGCTGGTCAGCCTCCCCTGTATTCCTAGATAAGTGTATAAACACTCATAGTGCCAAAACCAGACAATGGAGCATTTATAAATTTGTGGCTTTTTGGAAGAACTGTGTAGTATCAAGCACCTAGCAGACAACAGACAAACACAGACGAGTTTCTTTTTTCTCCAAAAACCAAAACAAATAAAAACCAGAACGATTCACCCTGCCAGATTCCTGACCACAAACCTTTTTTGCCTTTTACCTACCAATATAAACAAAGTGCATTTTCAAAGATCACTCAAACCTGAACATGGAGAATGACTATAACTAAGGCAAAAAATGCACAAGACAGATCACAGATATAAGGCACCCACTCCATGAACACATCCCACCTCCTGGTTAACCAAAAATTACAGAAAGTCATTCGTACTACTATGGGTTGAAGCTGTGGCACTCACTATTCGGATGCTCAGAACAAGGAATTTGATGATGTTGCCAAACATGTACAAGAAGGTGTGGTGGCACAGGAACCCACATGGAGACATACTAATCTTTACAGTTGTATCTTGTCCAACTCATTTACTTGGAAAACGGGGATATTTGAACAATACAGGCACTCACAAAGGTCTGCACAGCCAGACCATGGAATAGGTGCCAATCTGGAAGAAATGTGTATCAGGTAACGTAGACAATACAACGGATTGGGCTACTGCACTTTCCCGGTTTTGGAAAAACACCCAGTTGAGGTGAAAGGATGCGAGAAGCAGCAGGAGTAGCCCCCATCATCTCTTCCCCTGCCGCAGTTCTTGCAGGAACAACGAGGAGGAGGAGGTAAAAAGCAAGGTTTCTTCAATCCCCAGTAACAAAGCTCTGGCAGGACAAAGCAGTGCTCAACAGCTGGGCACCTCCAACACATCCAGCGCAGAGCCCAAGCTGTCCCCTGAACGAAATGGAGGGGCCGAGCTGGCACAGGGCACCAGACCACCACGCAGCAGGGGCCTGGCAGGGTCCACAACAGCTTTTCATCGCGGTCCCACAAGCAGAAAGGCCGTCTCCATCACAAAGCCACTTTGGGAGCCTCAGCAAGGAATTGGGAGACAGGCTAATCCCTGTTATCTGTCCTGCTAAAGTCACAGCAGTCTGGCCCGCAGCGGCTTTTCGTTTTACCCGAATGAAAAAGTAAAACCTGCACCACTGAAAATCCACTACGGTTTACCTGAGAATCGGGATCATTTGAGCAATTATTCTCAAATACCAGAAACTCCCTGTAACAGAAGAGAGTGCATGTATTTAAATTTAAATGTGTAAAAATGCAGCACCGCACAGCCCTGTGGTGTTACACTGAACACACGCGAAGCTCCCTCTTTATTTCCTCTCCTGGTGTACTGCTCTCCACCGAACCTCTTACTTCCACTTCTCTCAGCCTGGCAGTATCCAGATTAATGCTGGTGGGGATTCTTGGGCCATACCTCACTCAGCGATGCTGGTTAAGGACAGATGGAGGGCTATTCCTGTTAACCAAGACGGGCAGAGTCTTCTGCCATGCGCTCCTTCCTTGAGCCTGCACGCTCAGTGCCTACAGAAGTTCCCACAGCCTATCCTGCCATACCTAGAGAAGGCCGTGTAATTAGGTATTTCTGCAGCTTTAACAAATGCACTCTTGGCAGCACGACAAACTATATGAAACCATTTGGTGATATATTTCAGTATATACTTATTTACCCATCCAAGAAACTCAGTCAACATGCTTTATACTGTTCCCTTTGCAAACTCAATCAAGATGCTTTATACTATTTTTCCTTTGCAACAGTGTAGGACTGGCTGTCACTTCAGACATTTTAGTTTTCTTTTTGCTCTTTAGTATACAAGTGTACTGGTTGGGGGTGCACAAGAAGTTGCGGGGGGGACACATACAGCTGGGACAGCTGACCCCAACTGACCAAAGGGATATTCCATGCCATATAGTGTCAAGCTTAGCATATAAAGCTGGGGGAAAGGAGGAAGAAGCAGGGGACATTTGGAGTTATCTTCCAATAAGGCATTTGTCTTCCCAAGTCACCATTATGCATGAAGAAGCCCTGCTTTCCTGGAGATGGCTAAACACCTGCCTGTTCATGGAAAACAGTGAATTAATTCCTTATTTTGCTTTGCTCGCGCGTGCAGCTTTTGCTTTACCTATTAAACCGTATCTCAGCCCACAGATTTTCTCCTGTTTGTCACGCCATCGATTTTCTCACTTTTACTCTTCTGAGTCTCTCCCCCATCCCACAGTGGGGAGTGAGTGAGTGGTTGTGAGGGGCTAACTGCCCACTGGGGTTAAACCCCGACAACAAAGAAAGTTTAAAAGACAAAATGTCTAAACATGCACAATCAAACATATCTCTGAGTAGTCTGAATTGATGTAACAGAAATAGTAAGTGGGGAATAAATGTGTTTTATCCTTACTAAACCAATAACACTAATGAAAGTAGACAAGCCATGAGGCAAAGGCAGTTCTTGAATGACATGCCATAATGATTCCAACAGAAACTGCCGGGCAACATTACATAGTCTCTGGGAAAAAAGACTCTCGTTTGTAGACAGAGCTGTGCATCTCCTTTCTCCAAAAGCCACTCTGACGTGAGCAGCATTACTACCTAGAGGTCAGGGTTTTGAGGCTGTTCTTTCTGTTGGGCAGGGGAGGTGGTGACAGTGCAAGGAAGACCTCAGCAGACAGCTTTGCATTCACTGAGATCAGGTGCCTTTCTTCTCAAGTCAGTGCTCTGACTGCTAAAGCATTGCAATAACCATGGCACTGAAATTAAAGTCATTTTCACACGGAAAAGGAACCACCGTCAGTTGCTTCTACATCTACTACATCCACAACATCCCTACAAAAAGCCTGGGAAGTACCAGTAACATCCAAGTATCTAATACATCAACAAATATTTAATCAATTAATCATCAGAGCTCTACTTAATCCAGTGGCTCCTGGTATCTTCTGGTAACGTAAGAAAACCAGCCAATACATTCACCTTCAGCTATAAAGTAAAATGCCAGTGTTGTGGTTTAAACCCAGACAACAACTAAGCACCACACAGCTGCTTGCTCACTCCTCCCCGCTCCCAGTGGGATGGGGAGGAGAATTGAAAAAAAGAATTAGAACTCGTGGGTTGAGATCAGAACAGTTTAATAATGACAGTAAAATAAAATATAATAAAAACAATAATTAAAATATATAATAACAATAATAATAACAACAACAATAACGATGATGATGAAAAGGAATATAACAAAAAAAAGAGAGAGAAATAAAACCCCCAAAAAGACAAGTGATGCACAATGCAATTGCTCACCACCCACTGACCGATGCCCGAGCAGTGATCCGCCCCTCCCAGCCAATTCCCCCCAGTTTATGTACTGAGGATGACGTTCTACGGTGTGGAATATCCCCTTGGCTAGTTCAGGCCAGCTGTCCTGGCCATGCTCCCTCCCAGCTTCTTGTGCACCTGCTCGCTGGCAGAGCATGGGAAACTGAAAAATCCTGACCTGAGGATAAGCGCTACTTAGCAACAACTGAAACGTCAGAGTGTTATCAACATTATTATCACACTAAATCCAAAACACACTGTACTGGCTACTGGGAAGAAAATTAACTCTACCCCAGCTGAAACCAGGACAGCCAGTTTTGTACTCAGTGCTTCACCTTGACAAGAAAGTTAAAGAAAATCCTGCACTGTATAATTATATCTAGATTATACTCTACTTTGAACACATAAAGTCAAATTGTAGTCTAAATCACATCTTAAGCTCTACAGCAAATAATGGAAAATACTGTTAGAGCATAAACATGCAACAAATCTTGAAATACCTTTTGTTATATGACTGCAGCCTTACTAAATCTTTCTTAATATATATAAAATTGAAACTATCTTTTTTACAGAGAAACACAACAAAAAACACAGCACACCAATACATATACGGATGCATACATGCACACAATTAATATACCTCTCCAAGAGCTTCATAGCGCTTTTGGTTCCATCTATGTAAATCTTCACGGTAATTGAAAACAAATGGCTCCCCAGTTTTTATGTGTCTCAACTGCCCTTCTGTAAAACAAACAAAATCATTAAATTTTAATATACTTCTTCACTAAAAGACACATTTAATTGCTGTAGATTTGAAAAGAAATCTACATCTAAATATTGGGCTATTATGAATCCCTTCTCTTTTGGTGGTAGTATTTTTGAAGGAAAACAATTGTAGCATAACAACAAAATGCATTCGCCTTCAATGGTATATATTGCTAGATAAAGCTAAACACAAGTGATGACAGTGAAATTACATGCAGATATCAAATGTCAAATTGCTTTGCAAATTTGCTATGGATTAACGCTGAAATGTAAACATTAGCAGTTAATATTTGATCTGCAGTGTCAATTAGGTGATCAAATTGTAGCTACAAATCTGCTACTTCAAAAACAACTGCATTTATGAAGAAATGTGAGTACAAATTGGGCTGGAGGCTGGAAGGAAAGGAAACATTTATTTTCAAGATTAACAACATTCTAAGTTAATCTGAAGAAAACCACATCCACAATTAAGGTAAATATCTCAACTGCTAGGCACTGTGCAATCAAGCAAGAGCTCTTAGATTCAGGGTACTCTGAGATTACAACAGTAGAACAAAGCAGAATGCTTGATCAGAGCAAAACCACATGCTATTCTTAGATTCCAAAATAACTTTCTGGAGTTGGGCCTTGTTTATAGCAAAGTTTAGGAGCATACTCAACCACAAATGAAGATATGGGCTGAGTTAAAATAACAGTAATAATAAAATGGCAACAAAATAAGAAGCAAACTGCTGAAAGCAGATATCTGACCAGTAATGTTTCAGCTTATCAGACAAAACCCAAATTATGGTCTCAGAGCATCACAAAATTGCAGTAAATCAGAGAAACATTAAAAACAGGAATATGTACAAGCATCTCCTTTGAAAGCTGAAATGTCTGCATGATGAAGGTAAAGTTTCTCAGGAAAATGTTTCCTTTTGAATAGTAAGAAATTGCTAACTTAGCTCACACCTATTCAGGACCTTCACATTTTGATTCTTGATGTTTTAAATAAAATATTTAAGATCTGGGACCTCTAATAGTTATGCTTATCTGCTTACTTGATATTTTTTCCAGACCTGTATTACCTCATGGACTAGACACCACAGAAATATTTCTCAACTTCATATCCCTGTCTCAGGTCCAAATATCCTTCTTCTCATATTTTCATTACAAGTCTACCTTCAGCTGTTCCTTCTCAGCTAGTTACTTTCAAGTATGCCATCAATAGTACACAGTTGCCCTCTGCAGAAGTAAACTGGAGCAAATATCTGGTATATCTTTTCTCTGGCTTTCTGGAACCCTTGTCTCCTTCAGATTCTTTAAAACTAATAAAAATCTTCCTTATTTTTCCATCATAAAAGAAGCATGATTATGACATAAGAGTACCCAACTGTACATTTGAATTAAATGTACAAAAGCAAAATGGAGACCTTCTTGCTTTGCTGACCAGTAGCACATGTAATAGGTTTTGCTGTATTCTATGGAAATCACCCAGGCTGTGAGGTTAGTGATGGAATATTCAGTAACACATTCTAAAACATCATTCCCCTAAATTCAAATTTCATCCCTTTTTACCAACCACATATGAACCATTAACTCTGAAGTCAGTAAGGAAGACAGTAGACACTGTGCGGATCTAAAAATAAGGAGCTGAAAAGTGACAGAGCTGAACCCCTCCCATCAAAGAAAGAGCATCACTTTCATGACACTTTTAGTCTCTAAGTACCTTCCTGTGAAAGCCATCAGGGTATTAAAAAGCTAAGTGTTGCATAAATGACTACCATTTAAAGGAAAGCTCTTTTTTTTCTTTAAAAGTGGAAGATGTAAGACTGGCAGATTTAGAAACTAAAGTTCCTCTGTTCATAGAACAGGCACTGCAAGGAAGTAGAATTGTAAACGTCCCCATTTGTCCTACAGGTTTCAAACAATCTTAAAAGAGCCATTTCCTGGAGCCTGGTATTACTTTAGCTCAGAGGCTTATTTCTCAGCTGGATTTTAAAATGTATGCACTGGAAATTATAAATACTACTAACTCATTCGACACACAGACTCAGCTAGCTGCAAGTACTTGTAGTCATCACACACTTAGCTATAACGCAAAACCATGACCCACACCAGAAAAGTAAGAGACAGGCTATCACATTGCTTATCCTTCCATTAATATAAATAGGTGTTTTCCTATTGGTATTAATGAAATAGCTGGCATAAATTATTATCTAAATAATAACTTCTTTTGTATCCATGAAAATGAATAAGTAAATAAAGTGTTTCTTAAATGAGTGACCACTCTTTAATCTTGCTTTTTAATGCTAATGCTACAGAAATAATTTTCAGAATTTTTGTATCAACACTTCTGGAATAGAAAACAGGAAGTCATAAAGTATGCACAGTATAAACATATAGTATTGTATAAAATGAGGGATTTTGGTGACAATTTCATGAAATAAAAAAAAATACTACTTAGCTAGAATTACAAGCCTGCTAACACTAGGGCTTACAATTTTATTCTTAACAGAAAAGTGTGAAATTCTAATAGGGACTTATAAGGTATAATTTTAAGTTCTGATAACCTCTCAACATTATTCTAAGTATAGCCTTTACAAAGCATATATGACTTACTTTCATTAAAAATGTACTCAAATCCTTCCAGAGTATCAGGAAATTCAAGTGGTGGCTCATCTTTTTTCATTAGTTCATCCAAGTCTATTCTAGACAATAAATCTAAAAAAGGAAAAGAAAAATTACATAATGCATGCTATGTCTTTTTTATTTCACCATTATCACTGACAAAATGTGTTTGTTCAGATTTGTAGATCTTAAGGGCAGAAGGACAATCTACATAGGACTTTGTTATGGGAAATCTCGTTCCAGATTCAGAAGCTGGGCCTCACTGTCAGTATATCTTCTTTTTTTCTTTCTTTCCCTACCTATTTATCTCTAATGTTGATCAAAAAACGTCCAGGGACAGAGAAGCCACCAAAGACATAGTGATTTGTTTAAATGATTCATTACCCTCAGTGTTAGAAATATGTCTCTGGTATGCATCATGCTTTTAACATGAACTTATCTAACTTCAACATCAAGTCATTGATACATTCTTGTTTGCCTTCTTGAAGAGCCCAGATTATCAGATGCACGTCACCTCACAGGCATTTACCAGCTGCGTGATCACAACACTCCTTAACCTTCCCTTTGATACCCAAATAGACTGAGTTATCTGAATCCTTCTCTCAGCCACCCTCCTCCAATAAAAACCTGCCATCCATTTTATAGCAAGCCATGACATACACGTCCTTTTCTGACCAGAATGGTATAACCTAGTACAGCCTGCATTCACTAATGCAAGTACACTAAAATACGTGTAGTCTGCATTCTTTACCCTAGATTGAAGGATTTATATTTGACCAGAGGCAAACATATAGGGACATCTTTTACTTACATCTAACCACTAAACAATTACTGCATACACAGATAATAGTGTACAATCATTTATCCTCTCCTCATTGCTCATCACCCACACAACCCGATGCTTTCCTTTCAACATATTTTCTGATTATTAATAAAAAAGTCATCAGAAATTATTCAGCAGGATTACACTGAAATATTTTTCCTGCTTCCACGTAGATGAATTTGAAGACCACACAAACATTCAGTTAAGGAATGCTACACTGACTTTGAACTATTATTGCTTCATAAGTCAGGATACCATGTACTACCAAGGAAATGCATTAAGTATTCCAAGTATACTGCTTTATTACCTTTACCATCCAAAGCTGTAACTCAAAGGAAAGAAAACAGTTTGAAAAGACTGATTTTCTTTAAACTTGCTTTGTTTGACATTAACTACAGTTCCATCCTCTAATTACTTAAAATCATTATCTGAATAGGTTTTGTATCACTATTTTTGCTTAGTCTTTCTGCCAGTGACAAGCCTATAGGTTACACATTACCTAAGCTTAGTATTGGTACATTAATCCTTTGAAATTTCTACAGTGTTTAAAATGTACTGAAAATTAGCTTCAACATTCTTAAAGAGTTCCTTGGCCTGCTCTTTTATAACTCTTCAGGTTCACATATTAACTCCAGCATCCATATGACTGTCTGCAGCTCCTCCTTCTCTAAGTGATTTCACTGGTTAAAGCTGGAGGACCAAAGGCCATCTTGTATGGCCACTGAAATTCAACATCTCTCCAATCCATACTATGGTACCTGAGCATCTCTCTGCTATCCAAAGAGCTATATAACATTGGACGTTGACTGGAAGTTTTCTAAATGTCACTTTCTCAACCATAGCTCACTTTTACATCAAATCTGTTTAATAGCAAGTCCCGTGACATGCAATTCACGTAAGCAATCATATGCTTGCTCTTATCCGCTGTCCTTTGAAAAGTTCTGGGGGAGCTGCTTTGGTCCTCAACCAAATGACAGAAGAAAGAACAGAACTTTGTCAAAGAAGTTTTGCACAACGGGATGTAAGAAGTATGCCCTTTTTTCCTCTGTACTTTCACAACGTCGAGGTAGGAAAGCAGACTTTAGCACATCTTTCTCTCCTTGGTGAAGAGACTCCAGTCACACCACACCTCTAGAATTTAATTTCACCAGAGTTTTCATGTCTTCTTACTGTGACCTATTTGGAAATGTGTTTACACAGAAGTGCCAGTTACTGTATAACAAAATATCTATCTCCTGAGTAGCGAGGGCAATACTATATGAACTACATTAAGCTTATCTGCAGTATGTACAGGTTGTCGTGATTTACAGCTTCCATCAGAGTCACTCAGGAAGACTGCAATTGGTCTGTGCTGCAACTACCGACACAGCCACTTTCTTCCTCTGCAATTTTTCAAGTTAAAATTGGCTAAAGTGTTCTTATAACTTTGAGATTCTTTCAAGATCTGATCCACCATTCTCATCTAAGATCTTGGACTCTCCAACTCAATTCGAGACTAGCTCAACAGAGCTCGAAACTGCATGATCTGCAGGAGACCTTCTACAGCTCCATGGGAGTTCACTAGATCGCATGAAGAAAACAACATCCTCACAGAAAGTCTTCACTATGTGGAATATTTCTTGGACACTAGTTCTTAATGAAGATCAAATTAATGCCAAGTATAAAATCAGAGTTTTGCTTTTCCAAACGTGAAGTATAATTTCCTCAAAATATACTAATTTGACAGAATTAGTACAAGGTTTGAAAAATGGATCACATAGGTTTTCACCAAACATTTCACAAAAACACAGCTGTAACTGAAGAAACACCATCGACCATCACTGTATAACAGAATATATACTTCTAATAATACTTTCATTGAAATCCAGTTTTTACACTGGAGTTGCAAGGTATATTCTTTTTTCTTTTTTGAAAGACAATTTAGACAGTAAATGTGTGATGCAAGCACATTAAATTCAATGTTTGGTTAGCTTACTTGTAGGTCTAACCGACTCCATGTACTTTCAAAATTGAAAACCACTGTCTAAGAGATCTCATTTATTTAACTAATTTTTTCCTCAAGAAAATTACTCTGCTAAGGCACTTAGGTCCACTTATTTTTTAAAAACACACAATAGAAAGAAAACTTTATAAAATCAACATGGAAATCAATGTCCCGAAAATGTCTTCCCTGCTAACATTCTAGTCAAAGAGATTTTTAAAAGCTGTAATATAGTTGCATAATTATAAAGCATAAGTGGCATAAAAATTAAATGATAACTCCCAGAAACTACGAACACAAAAGCACCAGTCAACTTTCTCAAAGGATAATTATGAAAATAAAAAAAAAATTAATGGATATCTTATTCTGTTACTCCTTACCACAGATTGTTTTTTTTTTAATATCATCTTATGAAAATAGTGATAATGGACACACCATTAGGCAAAAAGCATTAGCATAGATGGACTAATAGTCTCTTCCAGTATTGCAGTTCCCAGATTCTAACCCATAGATACATCAAACTATTTTCCTTTCCTTAATAATTGTTTCTGGAATGTCAATATATCTAAAAAGAAAGCAAAAAGTCTCATACCCTTTAATGCAGTAGTCTTCTCTTTTTCATCTGGGCCTCCTTGCTGGAGCTGAGCCATCATTACCCAAACTGTCAACAGATTTAAAATACTGAGGTAAATGTACATTAATCTTTGAAGGACAATCTGAAAATCAACAAGAGTTGGAAATTAACAAATTTACTGACTTGTACTTCAACAGATCTCATTTGCTACAGCTTGCATCACAAAAAACCCAGAACTTGTTCCAAAAGCACAACTTTCCTGAGTATTATAAACCCCTATGACACGTAAGCTAAAATTTAACTTCTTCCTCTCCTTCAAAACTTATACTGCACACTCTAAAGTCTCATCACACCATCCTGGATTAAGACATTTTACAACAAAGTGTGACACACACTCCAACATCAAGTTTGGTCAAAGATTCAAGTTCACAAGAATGAATACTAACTTCTCCCTAATCCTAAAAGGACATCTACCTAATCGATTCTTTTTTGTGATTCTAATGTAACATCAGTAAATGATAAGCCTTTTGGAGAAGCACCACACTTGTAAGTCGAATGTAAAAGATACAAGAAAAACCAAAACATAATCAACAGAATTTCCAGAATCTTTAAGGATTTTCTTCATCAATTAACTCCATTTTATTGTTCTTACTGTACTACACAGTTTTGTTTTAGTAAAACTAGATGGAGCACACAGTTTTAAACCACTGTGATTTCTGCAATACATTATCGGCATTGAAACATATAGAATAAATGACTAGCTATAGAACAAACCTCAGTAAATTCAAGGTGAGAATTTACATGCAAAATATATTTCTAAATTTCTCCTATTGCACAGAAGGCAACTCAGACATTCAAATCTGCAATCTCTTTCATCTTAAATCTGACACCAAGGGAGCAAACTACCACGTCACAATCAGCGCTTCTTCCTTCCCAACAAAAAGACTTCTGTGCATTGAATTCTTTCTCCCTTCATCTTTTTTGGTTCTTTGTTTTATCTGTCAGTCATCACCAATTTGTTTTATTCTCCTCCCCAATACACTTTATCATAGATGAGTTTGCATGAACTGTATCTCTGTAGCAATTTGTAACTTTCAAACAAAGAGCAATACGATTTACCAACCATAATACTGGCTCCCTAATACTTACACCTGAAATAAAGAACCCCAAAATGGTTTCTTCTAAGTAACAGTAGTTCAATGTAAAGGCAGCAAAAAAACCCTAAAAATAAATAAAGCATAATAAAGGCTATTTTTCTATTGCCTTTAGAGAGGGTTTGGGTTGTGGTGGAGCTGTTTGCTTTTTTTAAGTCGGGGTTCAAGAAAGTCCAATAATCCATTCTACAAGTTGGACCTATAGGAGACTTTGACACCTTCCTTTGCAGAAGCCTGTTCAGACTAAGCTGATGGTAAATGACAGTACACGGCGAAAAGCCTTTTAAAGACGCAACTCCACCAGGAAAGCTCTGTTTAGATTGTCTGCTTTTTAAATTAGGACACAACTCGACATGATTCAGTTAAAATGTGCAACTTTTGGCTAACACTTTAATCACTTTAGCACTCGTAACAAAAGCAATCAACAAAATAACCGCAAAACCAGAGACTTTTTTTTGTATTTTCTAGTGTATAACGTAGTCAATGTAAATATTAAAATGACTCAAATGTCAATTCACACATGTGGATGGTATTAAAGACTTTTCTCAGATGCTTCCAAATAGTCCACTGACAAAAGATCACTGAACACAAAATCTTGTCCATCATCAGTCTGTACATTTGCAGCACAAAACTATGTACATTCTAGTAAATCACTTAGAAAAGAAACTAACCCATTCCAGCTACAATTATTAGAAGTGCTAGAAAATGACAGTGATAGTGTTTTGTGATAGCCCAGGTGAAATTTATTCTAGTCATACAAATTGGGTAGTCCTCCCTACACAACATTTGAAAATTCTTAATTGGGTATAGGTAAGTTTAAGGCAGTTACAAAATACGTACAGGTGCTCAAAGGCTTGTTATTACCCAAGTGAAGAAACATAAAATTTATCTGAACAGATTTGCCTTGCTAAACTAACCCCCAGCCCCTAATCAGATAAATCAATACAGAGACCAAGAATCCCTGGCATTCTTGTCTGTACAATGGATACCCTTCTTCGTCCTTTAACAGATGAAGACCTTGCCACTGAGGAAAGAGTAGATAACTTAACAGGTTCACTTGCCAAGCTAGAAGCACCAAAATAAACAAACAAATAAATCTGAATTTAGCTTTTAGAGAAAGAATTTCCAGTTCATTTTGACAAAGTAAAAAACTGTTACAGCAGCCACTGGAGGGAGGACTTGATATTAGAATGAGGATGAAACAAGCACATAGTATTTTATGCATTGTTTGTGTGAACACAGCATTTTGTTCAATCCCTCACTGATATTTGTCTAGATGACAAACAGAAGAAGTTAGATGAGAGGATTGGATTTCCTTTCTTTGACAGACAGGTGTCGAATCAACTATAGTCTGATGGTGCAGAAATGAACAGTGGGAAAATTATAAAGCTCTCTGAATTGTTGCTTACAGGCAAATGCAGGAATTGCAGTTTATTCTAGCCATCGGTTTCAAGCCACAGTGATCTTCGAACTGCATGCATTGACCATTCCACATAATTCACAAATACCATCATCAAGTTTCTTGTAATAAATACAGATTATTTCAAATGTGTTGTTTTGCACAATTGCTTCGATGATTCTTCTACAAACATATTTTTGTGACTGTTTTTTTTGCATTAGCTACAGCAAGCATGATTCCTAAAAAACAAGTGACTATTTCACCTAAAGAAACATTTACAGTAAATAAGTTTATTGCCAAGTGAATGTATATTTATTTGTATGTATCTTCCTTTCCCATGCAAACTTAAGTATTCTATCACAAAACATCTTATGCATATTCTTGCCTCTTCAACTCAATGCCCAGCAATACTTAAAATAATTTGACAGCAGAAATATTCTGTTTTCCTGGTTTCACATGAGACAATAAGGCTGCATTTTTATCATACACCTATTAATGGAACTCCAGAACTGGTGGATTCACAAACAAATATTAATTAAATTTAAAACCCCCCAACAACACAAACACAAAAAACCAACCCCAAACCAACCAAACCCAACAGACTTAAGGGAATGTATGTACATATTTCATGTTCTTGTCTGTAAAGTGGTACTGGAAGTTTGGACCACCAAGCTTGTGATTATATAATAGTGCTACTCTTCAAACCAAACTAGACACTGTGTCATATATTCTGACTCTTAAGCAAATGCACTCATACACAGATTTCTAGAGACTTCAGTTATTCTTCGTTGCGTAAATGCAGCTAGAAATGTGGCCAAAAATGTAGTATATGATTTTGCTCTACATTAGCAATACCTGAAATTAAGTCAATGCTACAAACGTTCCAAATAAAGGCTATAAATAATTGTTGTGCTAACCCACAAGTACAACATAAGAAAACATTCAAGTATTTTCAAACAGCACAAGTCCATCAAGTTTATCTTGACATAATCTGATCAGGAGTTACCAGAATGCTTCTTTGTATTGCACCACTTTATTAGAAAACAGTTGAATTAGAGTCTCATTCTTTGTAAACTGACATTCCAAGCAAGCTAGGGACAAGTATGCGTTAGATTTGTGCAGTGTGGCTGTGACTAAGTAATACCCAGTTTTTCTCCAAAGAGAAAGCTGGGTGACAGTTTGGTTCTAGTCCCTTCTCTGTATTGGCTGAACATAGCAAAAAATACATACTGTAATCCTAGTAGTATTTTCTGTCTAATTAGATTTTATCTATTCCTGCTTTTAGGGCACTACAGATGACATCAGTAACAACTGCGTCAATTAAGGCTGTACTTCACTTTTCTTCACTTATAAGACCCTGTTTTCAATTGCTTGTAGGTTTGCCAAACTTCAGCTCTGAAAGCCAATTATTTCCAGTCTGCTTTAGACTAAATGCTTTTGAAAAAGTTCAGCTAAAATGTCTACCTCTTGTACAAAAAGAAGGTTCAGAGACACTATCTTCTGCTCAGTTCTGCTGATGTTAATGAGCAGCTACACCATCTCCATGTTGCAGAGATCAGAAATTTAGCCAGAAGATCAGCTTAGCAGTGTGTGCTTCTTGCCATTACCCTTAAAGCCTGCCCGGATCTGCTCAAGTTAAAATTGCTTTTTCCACACATTTAATATAGACTTCTTAAGACTTATCACAATTTCCAGAAAATTTACCTATTTGCCTAGACCACGCTCCATACAGCTGCAAAAAGCCAGAGGGAAGATGCACAGGAGGGGAGTAATAAATGCTAGAAGAGCAGTATCTTTAACCACTAGAATACAAAGAAACTGGCAAGGATCCCAAAATCCCTGAATCTCAGTACATCTTTGCATTCTACCAAATGGTGGTGGAACTTGCTGATAAAGTACATGACTGCAGCTGACACTAAAGGTTATTTGCACGGCAGCTACCTTCCAGTGTTATCTACCCTGTAAGCTCAAAAAGCAGAGGACTATGAGCTATATGCATTAGCGTCCCAACCATGTCAGCAACTTGGTTGTTTACACAAGGCAGAGTCAACACGATTCCACACACTGAAATGTTAATTATTTCAGTTTAACTTTCTTGAAATGCTGGAAATGACCTTCATAAACATATGCATGTAAACATGATCAAATAAACAAAATAATACAAAAAGAGGCAGCACAACCTCAACACAGCCCCTGGGAGGTTTACAACATGACGGTCTTATCAGCAAAACACGAGGTCCAAAATGATCATCAAGAGTAGTAGCAACAGCTTTGAATACAGATACTGGTTTTGTGTGGGGTAGTTATTTTTCTCTAGAGTAGCTGGTATGGGGCTATGTTTTGGATTTGTGATGAAAACGGTGTTGGTAACACAGGGATGTTTTAGGGCAGCACTATACCAGCTACTAAGTAGAAAATTAACTCTATCCCAGCCCAAACCAGGACATTACTGCTGAGCAGTGCTTGCACAGAGCCAAGGGCTTTTCTGCTTCTCCAAAGAGGCTGGGGGGTGGCACAAGGAGCTGGGAGGGGAC